AGGTTCGGTCTGCTGGCTTGGCCGCGCTCGAGTCGTTCCTCCAGTCACTGAATAAGGCAGATCACACGTCACACACACATTTGGACACACACAAGCTGATTCTACATACACACATTTTAAAACAACAGCGAGTGGACAAGTGCAAAAACAAAGGAAACCACTTCAGCCGAGCAGTGTGTGACGCTCTCGTCCTGCGACACTGAACTGCTGTAATGAGTTCATCATCACTGAATCAGTCCAAACGATTCACTCAAAACAGCTGAATCACTCACAAACAAACCCAGCGTCTTCCTGAATGAATCACTGAATCACTCAAAAGATTTGTTCAGAAACAGACTGATTCCTGACTCAGATCTTCTTCTTCGTCTGTTTTCAGTGGTGACGCAGGAAGAGCCGACAGCAGTCAGGTGTGTAAACACACAGAGTCACATCAACTGCTCAAACTGCAGAACGAATCAGTGAATCAGTGAATCAGCCGTGGATCATTATGATGATGAGTGTACCTCGGTTATCCTTCGCAGGCGTTTCGCTCTTCACAGGCGCTACAGCTCGACGATTCTGCAGAAACAAACACACTGTACATCAGCACTGTCCGTCTACACACACAGATAACCTGTATGGTTACACCTCCTGCTGCATTACGCTTCCCTCATTACAGAGTCCTCTAGTCCACATCTTCATTTACACTGCAGCTAAACGCAGGACACACAGGGTTGATTCGAAGTGTTGAGTCTCCTACAGCAGCGTACACACATCACACATCACACATCACAGACTCGGTCCTTCACTCTGAATGTGTGTTTAATGCTTGAGTCATTCTGCAGTGGTCATCATGTGATTCTTTTAAATCAATGTGCAGCTGAAAGACTGTAAGCCCCTCCCCCTTATTTAACCCAACACTGCTCTGATTGGTCACGCTCACCTTGCTTTGCGGGATCTTGTTGGGTCTGGCGGCGCTGCTCATGAGTGGTGGAGGAGTCTCTGGGCTCTGCAGGATCTCCTCCTCTGGAGCCACGTCTGGATTCAGGCTGAAGACGCTCTCCAGATCCACCTGTGAAGAGCTCAGACCATCAGCTGACCCCACAACACATGACCCCAGAACACCTGAACCCAGAACACCTGACCCCAGAACACCTGACCCCAGAACACCTGAACCCAGAACACCTGACCACAGAAGAGATGACCCCAGAACAGCTGATGCCAGAACTGCTGACTACAGAACAGCTGACTACAGAACAGTCGACTCCAGACCAGATGACCCCAGAACAGCTGACTCCAGAATACCTGACTCCAGAACAGCTGACTACAGAACAGATGACCCCAGAATACTTGACCCCAGAACAGCTGACCCCAGAACAGATTACCCCAGAACAGCTGACCCCAGAACAGATGACCCCAGAAAAGCTGACCCCAGAACAGCTGACTAGAGAACAGATGACCCCAGAACAGCTGACCCCAGAATACCTGACCCCAGAACAGCTGACTAGAGAACAGATGACCCCAGAACAGCTGACCCCAGAATACCTGACCCCAAAACAGCTAACTACAGAACAGTTGACTCCAGACCATATGACCTCAGAAAAGCTGACCCCAGAAGAGATGACCCTAGAATACCTGACCCCAAAACAGCTGACCCCAGAACACCTGACCCCAGAACAGCTGACTCCAGAATACCTGACCCCAGAACAGCTGACTACAGAACAGATGACCCAGAATACCTGACCCCAGAACAGCTGACCCTAAAACAGCTGACCCCAGAACAGATTACCCCAGAAAAGCTGACTCCACAACAGCTGACTACAGAACAGATGACCCCAGATTACCTGACCCCAACACAGCTGACTCCAAAACAGATGAACCCAGAATAGGTGATCCCAGAACACCAGACGCCAGAACAGCTGACCCCAGAACAGCTGACCCCAGAACACCTGACTCCAGAACACTACACCCCAGAACACCTGACTCCAGAACACTTGACTCCAGAACACCTGACTCCAGAACACTACACCCCAGAACACCTGACTCCAGAACACTACACCCCAGAACACCTGACTCCAGAACACTTGACTCCAGAACACCTGACTCCAGAACACCTGACCCTAAAACAGCTGACCCCAGAACAGATTACCCCAGAAAAGCTGACTCCAGAACACCTGACCCCACAACAGCTGACTACAGAACAGATGACCCCAGACCAGCTGACCCCAGGTTACCTGACCCCAGAACAGCTGACTACAGAACAGCTGGCTCCAGAACACTTGACTCCAGAACACCTGACTCCAGAACAGCTGACTCCAGAACACTTGACTCCAGAACAGCTGACTCCAGAACAGCTGACTCCAGAACACCTCACTGCAGAAGAGATGCACCATAACAGATGACCCCCGAACACCTGACCCCAGAACAGCTGTCACGTTTACATTTCAATCATATTTACAGAATACAGCTCATGCACAGGGGACGCCCTTACATGGTCACTAATGTAAACAGAAGGTCACCTGCTGGTCATGTCTGGTACTGCAGCCGAACTGAATCTCACTGAAGGCTCGTTTTCTGATGTCAACTGTAAATCTGGAATATAATGTGTTCCGATATTTAGCGCTGATTTACTGTCAATTTTAGGCTAAAGCATGTTTTGTAAACTCCATGTTTTATTATATTAACATAAACATGCTTTTATTGTATTTATAATAATGAATATTTGATTATTTTCACAAAATAGGGCACATAACTTGTTTTCTTTGACTTAATGAACATGTTTGACTTCATCTATAGCCGGACATCTGTCTTCATTACACACAGACCACGCTTACACATGAGCACCACACACTGTCGATCACTTCAGTCCAACATGTCATTTTAATAACGGTGTTCATGAAGTGGTGATCGCGCTGTAGGGTTCAAACCTGAAATACTGTTTTAGCAATGTAAGACTTTAAGAGCCGCGCACACAGAACAGAAGCGCAGTGCACTATATTACATCTACCACTGCATGAGCTCCAGCAATGAGACTGATGGACAGCTGAACATGAACATGCTTCACCTCCTTCCCTTTGGTGTCGCCATTCTCGATCCACTCCACCGTCACACTGTCATTGTGGTCATTCAGAGACGTCACCATGGCCTGGTGGATCCGGCCTGAAGAGGAAGAAGAAGGCAGAGACTTACTGACAGATCTGAGGAGGACGGAGCTGCAGACACACTCTGAACACACACACACACACACACACACACACACACACACACACACACACACACACACACAATTAAGCCATAGCAATAGCACATATCAGCCAGAATTCAACCAAATGAACCGGAACTGACCCTATTCTGGGCCACAGTTTGCTTTTATTCTGGCCCAGATCTGGCCTATTACTTCTGATAATAAACATTAGTGAACATCAGTGAAGCGTATTATTTCAGCACAGGTTGTGCCTCACTTCATTGTGTTTGCTGTAATGAATAAACTCTTCAAGCAAAGATCTTCAAAGTTACAGCGGCCCAAAAGAACTTTTATATTAAGAGGTTCAGGGCTATGAGCCCAACTAAAGCAAACACTGTTCTCCATGATGGTGATTCAGTCTGTGTGGTCCACATATGTTTTAAGATAACTGGGCCACAGTTGCCATATCTCCTCTGGGCCACATTAGGCTCAAATCCACATTAGCAAGAGCTAACTGTGCCAAAACTGTGCCGGATATTTGCCAAAAGTGGCCCACATTTGATTTAGGATAACTGGGCCACATTTGCCATATCTCCTCTGGGCCACATTAGGCTCACAGCCCCAATAGCCAGAGCTTACTGTGCTGAATATGTGTTAAGATAACTGGGCCACATTTGCACTACACATGTGAGCCACTTCAGGTTTTGACCCAGATTACCCTTAAAAGACTATTCCACTATTTTGCCAGCTGTGGTCCACATTTGTCCTCCATCATTTGGGCCAAACTGATCATTTTCCAAATGGGCCACATTAGGCTCACAGTCAGATTACATTCAGCCACAAGTGCCAAATCTCTGCCTTAAATGGCCCGTATATGAATGTGAATCTTTGCTCCCTTTGTCATTGTACAGGTGGGCCACTTCAGGCTCACATTCACTTTATCTGGGCCGAAGGAAGAGCACCAGTGCCGCATGACTGCCTAAAGTGGCCCAAATTCACATGCTATCTGGGCACTGTCCTCCATCTACACGACCCCTCAACTCTCCTGCTGGTGTGTGCAGTGATGCGCAGTGTTAGTGCAGCTGCTTCAGGATGATCATTACGCTGATGTTACTGTCATTATTCTGATACACATTCACTAAACTACTGTCAACAAAAGTGCTCAACAGATAAGCATTGTGTAACTTCATTCATCTATCAGTGAACACACACACACACACACACACACCAGCCTATATCTGCAGATTACTCGGGTATGGGCACAGAATGAGCTGCTGTAATAAGCTGAAGGTGAAGCAGCTGTATAACAGGCACATGTCTGATTACAGGGCTGATATTGGCTCCTCGATCACCGCATCATGATCCCCGCCCGTGTGTTAATACCTGCTCATTATGAGCTTGATCTGCTGCTGTTCAAACACACATACATTAGTCTGAGGCGAGCTCATCTGCTGTGATGATGTTAGCTCCACTGATTAAATCTGACGCGAGTATATCTGAGGAGAACGCCTCGGCTAGCGGTGATGTCTCTGGGCGTCTTCCTCGGGGGTGATGATGCTGCTACACTGCGAATTTACCACAGTCTACTATGGCGAAGGACTCGCTCATGAATATTCATTACGCGCAGTCACATCCGGCTATCTGATTGGATGGAGAGCTCGCGACGTCGCATACGCGTGCTGACGCGAACGGTCATCAAAGCGATACCGCGCCCAGACGCTTCACCGCGGTAACCAAGCAACGTCAGGAGGCCTCGTTAATATTCATGAGCCAGGCCTCCGCCATAGTAGATTCGGTAAATTCGGTAACGGGTTAGCAGGAGCGTGCGTGTGTAAAACAGCGGTTCTGCGGTGTGCCGTGAGCGGACAGCAGCAGCAGCAGAAACCCCCGCCCGGCTGTGTGGATCCTCCGCCGGTGTCTGCAGCCGCTGTCCCGGTTTACCGGAGAAACAAAGATGCTGCGGCGGCGGCGACACTCACCGTCACTGCGCTTGATCTCCACATAGATGCCGATCTGGATCCTGCCGAACAGGGCCGCCATGCCTCATCTGTATCCGGTCTGTGCTGAGATTCTGACCGGAGAAGCGGATCCGCCGATCGGTAGAACCGGGATGAGGAGGTCAGAGGAGGAGTGCGCATGCGCAGACCACACACGCCCATCACTCACTCAGCGCTTTGTCTCCATGCGGCGCTGCAGATCTTTCATCCCGGCAGGGTTATTAATATTATGAGCTCAGAAATATTTCAGGAATATTATTTTAATCTGATCGCGAATAAAAAATAAAGTTAAAAATGAAATAAACGAACTGAACCTATAATGTTTACCCCAAAACACACGCAGTGCCGGAGAAACACACGCGGGGGCAGCAGAGAGCACACGCACAACCATAATGAAGCAGAGTTTATTGAACAGTTCTCATTTAATAATCACCACAGATTAAAGTCTACTCGTTATCTGTGGGCATAAACCTTCACGAGTTCCACAAAAGAAGATATTTCGAAGAAAGATGAAAACCTATGGGAGTCAATGGTTACTGATTTCCAACATTCTTTAGAATATCTGCTTTTGCATTCAACAGAATAAAGAAACTCATAAATGTCTGGAACAAGTGAAGGATGAGTGAATGATGAGCACGTTATTATTATTATTATTATTATTATGGGGTGGACTGCTCTGAAAAATGATTCGCTGGATTTACTTCATTTATTTGGGTCGGATTTAAACAGAAACATTTAGCTGGATTTACTTAGTTTATATGTGCTGAATTAAACAAACTAATGAAGATGCATTTATATAATGAAATCCAGTAAGTTCAATAGATTTATCATGTTATTCCTACTTAAATGTGTTGATTTCTAATGTCTAATATCACTGAACTGCTTGCAAATACACTTTGAAATGACACGTGATTAAGTTTGTTTTGAATTTTGTGCCTATGTGCTTTTCCCTTTATTTCTAATATAAATGTAAAATACCCACAATCCTCAACAATAAAGGACAGTTGAACACTGATAATCATGAGTGTGTGTGTGTGTGTGTGTGTGTGTGGTGCAGCTTCAGGACACAAGGTGGCGCTCTCTCTCCACAGCAGTGATCTACACCTGAACTGCAGTGTGCATCTCTCTTCATGTGCAGCTTTATCAGTGCAGTGTGAAGCGCATCACATGCAGACCTACACATGCAGAACAGAGTCTGACTGATGAGTGCGCAGGTCAGACACTCACAGAGGCCTGCTTCAGCTCAGAACACAGAAGATGCAGATTTACATCCTCTGATTTTCAGTTGTTTCCCTCTCTCTCTCTCTCTCACTCACTCTCTCTCTCTCTCTCTCTCTCTCTCTCTCTCTCACACACACACACACACACACACACACACACACACACACACACACACTCTCTCTCTCTCTCTCTCTCTCTCTCTCTCTCTCTCTCACACTCACTCACTCACTCACTCTCTCTCTCTCTCTCTCTCTCACTCACTCACTCACTCACTCACTCACTCACTCACTCACTCACTCACTCACTCACTCACTCACTCTCTCTCTCTCTCTTACACACACACACACACACACACACACACACACACACACACACACACACACACACACACCCCACACACACTCACACACACACACACACACACAC